GTGTATGCGTGTGTGTGCACGTGTATGCGTGTGTGTGCACGTGTATGTGTGTGTGTGCACGTGTCTGTATGTGTGTGCACGTGTATGTGTGTGCACGTGTCTGTGGGGGAGGCTGGTGGATAATGAGAGGGGTGGGGTGCTCATGGGGTATACTATCAGATGTTGACAGGCTGATTGGCCTTCCTGTGCGTCTTAAATATTACACAGTGCTAGCTGAAGGCCTATCCATCGTAGATTAAAACCAATCTGTCCAGTCCTGAGACTTTGCAATGATTTGTGTGGAGCATTGCTGCAAGTCTCGGATTACAGGAGTCCCTCCCTCATCTGCTCGAAGGCACTGGCCTGGTGGGCGTTATTCAGGACAGGTTCAGTGGGGGGCGCCAACGATTCGTTCGGAGTGAGCAACGGGTCAGTCTCAGGAACACCTCCAGCTTGTTCCTTGGCGAAAGGCAGTCTGCGTTAAAGGCCTGTCCCACCCAGCTTCCACACTCCAGTGGAATTAAGTGCTCTCAGCGGGTTGAGACCAAAAAGCCTCTCGCTGACTCTGGCAATGGTACCATAAAGTCAGTTCACTTGCTCCAGTCTCTCCAGACTGCAAGAAGAAATGGGGCACGTGCTAGAAGAAGCGCAGGAGACACATGATTCGAGTTTATTACAACAGTCAGGAAACACTGAACACACTGGGGCTCTTTTCTCCTTGAAAAGAATACAGATGATGGATAAAGAGGGCTTCAAAGCTGAACGGATGTAGGATCCCTGCAGTGTGGAAGCTGTTCGTTCAGCCCATTGAGACTACACCGACCCTCTGAAGAGCATCCCACTCAGACCCACCATATCCCTGCATTCCCCATGTCTAACCCACCTAATCTACACACCCCTGAACACTACGGGCAATTTAGCATGGCCAATCCACCTAGCCTGCACATCTTTGGGACTGTGAGAGGGAACCGGAGCACCCGGAGGAAACTCACACAGACACGGGGAGAATGTGCAAACTCCACACAGACAGAGTGCACAGTCCTACTTGTGGCTATTCCAAAACCAAGGGCGCCAATACGAGACACTGCGTAGCAAATTGAACGGGCAGAACTTCTTCACGCAGGGAATCTTGTGAGAATGTGGAGCTTGCGGGCATGGCGTTCTGGAGGTGAAGAGTGCGTAGAAGAGGAGTGAAGGAGAACAGGTGAGGGTTAGCTCGCCTGAGCTGGTATTGTCATTGGACTAACAATCCAGGGCTAAGCCTACTAACGGGAGCTGGTGGGATTTAAATTCAATCAACAAACCTGGAATTGAAAGCTCATCTCAGTAATGGTAACCACGAAACTCCTTAAAACAAAAACTCCCATTGGGTTCGCGAACGTCCTCTAGGGAAGGAAACCTGCCACCATCACCTGGTCTGGCCTACATACAACTCCGGAAACCAACTGGCCTCAGAAATGGCCGAGCTCAGTCACTCCGTTCCGAAGGGATGAGGTGGAAATGCTGGCTTTCAGTCTCAGCCGCTCTCTGGAGGGGACGTTTCCACTTTGCCCCCCTCAAACAGCTGAACTCTAGCTCCCCAGGGTTCTGGATTCCCCCTCAACTCTTACGGTTATCTTAAAATACCACAATATCTCACCCACATTCTTCCAAATTCTTCCCACTGGGGGTGCAGGTGGGCTGCTCGAGTTAAAACGATCCCAATACCCATTGGGTTGAGGCACTGCAAGTCACCATTCCCACAAACCCAGTGGCTGCAGTGTGCCCAGGACTCCGCCAAGACCCCCTGACAAGTTACCTGTTCGCTGAGTGCCACTCAGTGGAGTGCTCTCTCTCTCGTCGATCACACAGTACACCTGCACCAGGTACTCTGTGCCAGGCTGGAGCCCTGAGGAACAGTCAATAACTTCAGGTTATATCAAAATGCAGGCAAACCCACCACCCCCCCCACCCAACACATCAAATGAAATTTTTACAAAACAACAAAGGATCATTCAAATCCAGACTGACTCTCACAATGTCCCTGGAGTGTGAGAGAGAGGGAAAGAGAAAAGGAGAGAGACAGAGATATAGAGAGAAAGGGAAAGAGAGACAGAGAGAGAGAGAGAGACAATGAGAGAAAGGGAGTGAGATAGAGAGCTTGGGAGAAAAATAGAGAGAAAGGAAGAAACAGAGAAAGGAAGAAATAGAGAGATAGAGATGGGAGAAGAGAAAGAGAGAGAAATGGAAAGGAAGAGATAGATAGAGTGAAAGGGAGAGATAGAGAGAAAGAAAGGGAGAGCAACAGAGAGAAATGGGGAGATAGTGATAAAGGGAAAGAGATGGAGAGAAAGAGATAGAGATAGAAAAAGAGATAAATACAAAGAAGGGGGGAGAGATTGAGAGAAAGGGGGAGACACACACATTTACATAAGCATGGACATCTACACACAGTAACCTTACCTGTCAGTACCACCATGCTGTTAGAAGGGGTGATGGTCAGGTCAGTTGGCCCCTCCTCATCTCCCACGGGTCTGTAGCGCACCAGGAAGTTGCTGAGGTCGATGGAGGGAGGGGCTGACCAGCTGACTCTCATGGTGTCTGCCCCCACATGGGTGAAACGCAGGTTGGTGGGAGGTGGCACCGCTGGAGGGGGCAATGGGAAGATGTGAGTCACCGGCAGCTCCTGGACTGAACGGTGGGACTGCACAAACACAGACCCACTGAGGTAGAATGGTCTCACGCACAAACACAGACCCACTGAGGTAGAATGGTCTCACACACACACACACACACACACACGCATGAACACACGTACACACGCACATGCACACGCATGAACACATGTACACACGCACATGCACACGCATGAACACGTACACACCTGCACACGCATGAACACACATACATACAGGTGCACACGCATGAACACACGTACACACACGTGCACACACACACAATCAACTCCTACAAGTTCACCTTCCACCCCATTGCCCCGTTCCCACCACATCCCTACATTTTCCTACTCCATGCAGTGAGCTCCCTCCTCCTCCCTGTTCCCCCCCACACCCATCCCCCTGACCGGAATTGCTGAATTAACAGGAAGATCGCACAAAGATTCCAGTCTTCCTCAATTCAACATCTTCACTTAGCAGCAGCCCGACTCATCCCCATCTACCCTGGTGCGTTAAAAGAAATGGGGGGGGGGGGGGGGGGGGGGGGAGGAGAGAGCAAGAGCCTGCATTACACAGCGCTGTGCACCAGCTCATGCGCTCTGTGTCCAATTCAACAGTTCCTGTGGCAATATAGGCAATGACGACCGAACTGGCAAAGCCCGGCTTTGCCCAGGGAGACAAATTCCAGATCCCCGCCACCTCTGCTGTGAGGAAAGTCTTCCTGACATCACCTCCCACCCACCCCCTCACCCCCGGCTCTGGACTGAAAGTTCTGCAATCTGTTCTGGGCAGCCATCATGGACACCCTCCCAGCATGCATCACGCCATCCTCCACCCCGCGCAACCTCCAATCTCCACCCCACAGACATCATCAATCACATGTTCTACTCATCACGTGCCCATCTTGAGAGTGAGGTGGGGTGGGACAAGAACGGGGAACCGAAATAGGGGGATTGTGGAAAAAGGGGCTGTAAAGAGAGGGTGGGTGAGGACAGAAGGGGGTGAAGAGACAATGGGGTGAAGAGGTAGTGAAGAGAGAGGGGTGAAGGGAGGGGACATGAAGACATGGGGGTTGAGGAGAGAGGAGGTAAAGGGGGCCTGAAGAGAGAGGGGCTTTAAGAGAAAGAGGGATGAAAGTGGTGAAGACAGAGAGGGGTGAGGAGAGAGAGGGATGAAGATAGTAGGGCGTGAAGAGAAACTGCATGGAAGGAAGGGTGAAGAGAGAGTGGGGAGAAGACAGAGAGGGAGAGAGGATTGAGGGGTTGAAGATAGAAGGCACTGAAGGGGGGGAAGGGAGAGAGTTGGGGGGGAAGAGAGAGGGGGAGAGAGGCAATGGAGAGAGGAGAGAATGGGAGAGAAGAGAGTCAGGGAGAGAGTGGACGGGTGTGGACAAGGAGTCGGGGGGGAAGACTGCAGGACGATAGGTGGAAGTAGGAGTCAAAAAGACAGGAGGAGAGGGGTGGATGGGTCAGAGAGAGAGAGAGAGAGAGAGAAGTCAAAGTCACCCATCTGGTTGGCAAGAAGTCGCTGCGAGAAGGAAGGAGGCTGCTCGCTGACATCTGGGTGGAGGGGCAAGTGTGAGAGGAGGGGAGGAGGAGAAAGGAGCTGAAGAAAAATTCACCGGTTTGCTGCTTGCGTGTGGTGGTGACACTCGCGCGACCCTCTATCAGGGTGATAACACTGATGTCGTAATCTATCCCGGGCTCCAGGCCTTGCACCGTATAGTATCCCGTCGACGAGCTGACAAAGTCTTCGAGAATGGGGACCGACTCCCCCGCCGCTATGACAGTGATGCGGTAGCCAGTGATGGCCGAAAAGTTTAGTGGTGTCCATTGCAGGCCAATGCTCGTGTCACTTACGTCAACGAAGGTCAGGTCAGTGAGTTGGGGGATTTCTGGTTAGTCAAAGGGCAACAAGGCAGCGTTAAAGGTGCAAGAAGAAAACAAAAAGAAAACAGCAAAGAAGAAAACTGAGAAAAACAAAAGGCACAGCTTGACTTTGCTGTAAAAAAAAGGTTATTTAACCGCAAAAAAAGTTGCAAGCATTCAAAAGGTGATATGTAACAGCTTTCCCTCATCATTGTTGTGCAGGTGGAATACAAAATCATTTATTAATTACATTTATAATTAAATGATTAAAATATCCCACATTTGGTTCCCTTTGGAAATATTAATCTTCATGTTGATAAATTTGGGTTTTGTCCCCTAGCTGTTTTTTTTTAGGTTGAGGCCCAAAGGCCTGGGCTGCAACCGATGCTGGTTGACTTGACGACATGATGTAATTGGCACACCGTCTGCTGGGAGGCCGTTTTGTTCTTCTCTCCCCCTCCTCACCTGCCTTCAACCAATATCCTCAGCAGCCTATACTTCCACAAGCAACACTGGCAGGGGAGCCACCCACACCCGCCTTTCGGTCTTGGCCCACGGGCATTAATAGGTGGTCTGACGGATGGCATCACCAAACTCAAACCCTTTTCCAGCCTTACTACAGATATGGTGAACACACTTGCCTTTTCCACCTGGGCTCTCCTGTTGTCGCCTAAACCCATGGATCCCACTAGTTTGAAATTCCAATTGAAAGTCAGAAGGTTTCTCACATCACCTTTACAACCACTAATGGAAAGGTTGTTCAGTCACTGAACGAACAAAGTTAGTGAGAGGAAGAGAGCACTGCAGTGAATTTTGACACTTCTTTAAAAAAATAACTGAAGCAAACAAATGAGATGCAGCTCTCAATGGAAGCCATTTTGTGGCACTGGCATCTGCATTTTAAGCATGGAGTACAAAAGTGCTTCGAATGTGGCATTGAGAGTTTAAGCAAGTGTGAAGCTTCAGAAGCTAAGCCTGGCGCACGTTCTCAGGGTGTCCCAGTCTCCGTCCTCACAACCTACACTTGAAAAAGAAGCCACAACAACTGTCGTGGCCGCCGCCACTTCTTCTCAACTACCTTGGGTTATCACCGCGGACGCAGGCTGGCTTTCCTTGCCGTTCTTGACGGTGTAAACGCTGACGTTGTATTCAACTCCGGGAGTCAGGTTCTCGGGGATCCAGGAGGTCTGTCCCGGTTCGACAAATTCCTCGAGAAGGTTGCCCTGTTGGCCCGGTTTCGGGACACAGGTCACTCGGTAGCCAGTGATATCTGAACATCGTAAAACACACAAGACACCGCTGTCATCACAGGGCGGGTGCATTATGTCAAAACAAAAAGGATGAAAGTGGGCGTCAGTCACCAGTTGGCACCTTGGGGTGGGTGGGGAGTGCAATCCAAGTTAGAGTGACAAGAGAAACTTCAGGATTGGCACCTGGCGATGCCATCTCAGTGGGCGCAGAACCTCGGCAGGTGTTGGCATTTGAAGGTTCGAGGTTGGCACGGCGTCAACAGGACGCCAGGAGGGAGGCGGGTGACCAATGTAGCTCTCCGCGACACTCTACCAGACACACCGGGCGTGAATGCCAAAGAGCTGGGAAGCAGCCAAGAGTGGCTGAAGCCAGCAAAAACGGCCGCGCCTCACTTGGTATGACAGGAGATGAAGCCCAGTGAACGAGGACCGCTCACTGTAAATCCCAGAGTCAGAAAATGCCAGGACCCTGGCACCCTGGGGATTAAACCTGCTGCTTTGGACTAGCTGGGTGTCTCCTTAAGCAGCCAATCCGCGGCTCCTCATTCCCCAAAAGCAGTCGAGTCGAGGGTGGATTGGGCTGGCAATCGGGAATTCACCCGTGTTAGGTGAGGAGGACGTTTTAGGGAGCTGGTAGACACGCTGGCTCCAGTTTGGAATGTTATCCAGCAGTACCAAACCGCTACCCCACCCCTCTGTCCGCGAATACCCCGAGAACTCTGTGGCATGCGCCCCACCACCCACCCACCAATCCGCCTTGCTCCCCGCAGCCTCTCGCAGACAGGAAGAGACGGCCCCGTACCTGGCGACGGTCCCTCGCGCCAAGTCACCGTCAGCTCTCCCGTGGTCGGATCGGGGTAGACCTGTAGGTCGGTGGGCGGGGACAGTTCTGCACAAAAAAAAAGAGTCACACCAGGTTTGGAAGGCACCCCCCCATTACTTCAACAACAACAGCCTGCATTAGCATAGCGCCATACTAGCCACCACCCCCCACCCCAGTCGCTCCAAGGGAGAATCGTCGGACAGCGTGTGGTACACCGAGGCGGGGGAGGGAGCTTTCCAAGAGATCGCGGCTCGTTCTGATCGGGTGGGCGGAGGAGGGTGCTGATGTGGGAGGAACATGGGTGGCGGGGGGGTCGTGTGTGTGTTTGGAGCTTGGTCATTGGGAGGAAGAGTAGGAAAAATTGGGGATGGAGGGGAGGTAGGGGTGTCAACAAATGCTGTTTTACACGGCCTTGATTACTGACGACCTTTTTTTCTAAGTGTATTGGCAGGACGAGGGTGTCTCTGGCTAGGCCATGCATCTACTGCCCTTCTTAATTGCCCAGAGGACTGTCAGCAGTCAAACCACATTAGCGTGGGTCTGGAGTCACGTGTAGGCCAGACCAGGTGAGGATGGCAGGTTTCCTTCCCTAAAGGATATGACTGAACCGGATGGGTTTTCCCCGACAATTGCCATTGGATTCGTGGACATCATTACGAGACTCCGAGTTCCAGATTTCTTCACGGAATTCAAATCCTACCATCTGCCACGGCAGGATTCGAACCCAGGTCCCCAGGACATTACCCGGGTGTCTGGATCAATAGTCCAGCAATGATACCAGCAGGCCGTCATCTCCCTAACTTGATGGGCTGAATGACCTCATTCTGTGCTGTAACGACTCCAACTACAGACTAGTACCAAATCGAGCGATGCAAGAGCTGTCATCGACACATAACGGGCAGAATGGCCTCTTCCTGCACTGTATCATCCTGTCAATCAACCTGGCTGGTACTGACAAATGAACATCCTTTACTCAAATCTAGTTAATCTCCCTCTCACTGTCAGCTATATACCCATGAGCAATGTTGAATCCAACATCCACTACACATCACTCTCCATATCCATGTCCTGTTTTCTGTTTTCTTTCAGGTGAACGCGCACCAGGGACATCCCAATTCAAAACAGCTTTCGCTTGTACAACACACGTAACATTGCGCCCACTCAATCAAGGACTTACCTGGCAGCACCGCCACGCGATAAAAATTCACAGCAATTTCCAAATCGTTCCAGTAACTGAAAACAAGCGTCAGGAGCGGTGGCCTTAAAACTTAACATCGGTTGTCGCCAAAACCCAAAAAAAAATAAACCCCCTCAGCGTCCTTCAGGGAAGGAAATCTGATGTTCGTATCCCAGTCTGGCCTACATGTGACTCCCAGATCCACAGCAACGGGGGTCGACTTTTGGCTCCCCCAATGAAACGACCCAGGAAGGCGCTGAGATCAAGGGGGGGCCAATTAGGAATGGGTGAGGGTGGCAGGGGTGTTCAAGAAGGTTCAGCGTCACTTTCTGCAGGGCATTGAGGGAAAGGGTGTTGAATGCCAGGCCAGCTGGCAGCGCCCAATTTCCGCAGACAGATTTATGCCAACGAAAGACCGGGCAGAAGTTGGGGCACTCGAGATACATTCGGGCCAATGAGCGAGAGGCTGGTCAAACTGGTACAGTTTATTCTGAGGAGCATCGCGAAAGGATGAGAGGGAGCTAGCGAAAGAGGCAGATGAGTTTTGGAAATTTTGTTTACGCACCGCAGGGCTGAGACATTTGGTCGGGGTGTGGGGGCGGGGGGTGTGGGTTACATTAGGAAACGTGAAAGGGAGCAGGTCTGGAGGAGCGCGCAGAAATCCTAGAAGGTTGGGGGCGGGGGGAGGGGTTTACAGGACGAGGGTGGGTGGGCGCGGAGAACTCCCCTTTGACACGTCGGGACGGTATAAACCACACCGGAGCCTCACCGGTGACAACAGTCTTGGTGACGGGCCTGTCCCGTTCCTGGTCGTTGACCAGCAGCGTGATGGAGACGGTGTACTCGGTACCAGGAGTCAGGCTGGAGATGATGATGCTCCCGGAGTCGCTGGTCACTTCCCGAGGGGTTTCTCCGCCTTGGCTGGGTCGGACCCCCACCTAATTTTGGGGGGGGGGAGGTGGGGGTGATGGTGGGAATAAGAAAGGAGAATCACACAGTGCAGGAGGAGGCCACTCAGCCCATCGAGAGAGAAACAGCGCTCACTTGGTCCTCAACACTTCCCCTTTTTTTTTGGAGCCTTTCTTCAATTTCCCTTCCCCTGGGGGGTCCCTGCGGAATCTGTTTCCACCGTCCTTACAAGGCAGGGCCATCCCATTTTGCAAAGAATGTGCCGTGTTAAAAATTTCTCCCTTTTCCCCCATTGACCCCACGACCCCCCCCCCCCACCCACCCACCCCTCCACCGGTCATCAGCACCAGGTTGTGGTGTCAAGATCCGCCAGGGGAACTGGTAAAAAAAAAAGCTCCAATTTTGCCCTCTGACAGAAACCGTGCACAGTTCACAGCCACGCACATCCGAAAACCCATACTCCTTAACAGTTTGATAAAACAAAACGCCGTTCACATTTATACAGCTCCTTTCAGGCCGGGAATGACAGGGTGAAAATCCTCTCAGAGATAGTAGGAACTCCCGATGCTGGAGAATCTGAGATAACAAGGTGTAGAGCTGGATGAACACAGCAGGCCAAGCAGCATCAGAGGAGCAGGAAGGCTGACGTTTGGGTCCGGACCCTTCTTCAGAAAAACGGGTCCGAGAAAGGGTCCAGACCCGAAACATCAGCTTTCCTGCTCCTCTGATGCTGCCTGGCCCGCTGTGTTCATTCAGCTCCACACCTTGTTATCTCAGGGTAAAAATCCTGCGGCTTTTCTTCAAATTAATGAGGTTCTTTTTTCCTCCTAGGCCTCAGTGTAATGCCACGCCCAGCTTGCACCACACAGCCTTTAGATTCAGGCACCAACCATGCTAGTCTTGTGCTTGACCAAAGGAGGTAATTCTGGCCCTCCATCTTGAATCTCTTACACTTGATCCTATACCTCACTCTTAACCCTTCAACTGCTGCAAAGCAGCCTGGTTATCTACCTGATGCCAACTAGCCCGTCCTGAATGGAAAACATGGAACAGTACAGCTCAAGAACAGGCCCTTCGGCCCACCATTGTTGTGCTGAGCATGATGCCAAATTAAACTAATCCCTTCTGCCTGCCCTTGGTCCATATCCCTCCATCCCTTGCATATTCATGTGCCCCTTAAACGCCCCTAACGTATCTGCCTCCAGCACTACGCCTGACAGCGCGTTCCATACTTCCACTCTCTGTGTAAAAAAACCTGCCCCTCGCATCTTCTTTGAATGTTTTACCCCTCTCACCTTGAATACATGCCCCCTAGTACTGGGTATTTCAACTCTGGGCAAAAAGATTCTGACCGTCAACCCTATCTAAGCATCTCGTAACTTTGCAGGCTTTTCTAGCGAGTCTCCCCTCAGCCTCTGCCGCTCCAGAGAAAACAACCCGAGTTTTTTCCAGCCTCTCCTTACAGCTCACGCCCTCCAATCCAGGCAGCATCCTGGTAAACCTCTTCCGCGCCCTCTGCAAAATCTCCACGTCCTTCCTGCAATGTGGCGACCAGGATTGAAAGCAACGCAGCCTAACCAAAGTCTTATCAAGCCGCAGCATGACTTCCTGACCCTTGTACACAATATGCCCTGACCAATAAAGGCTAGCGTGCCATGTGCCCTCTTCACCACCCTACACTCCAAGCTCTTACCCGGAATGATATCCTGGGCATGGGTGTCCATGTAACGATAATAGCTGTGTCCGTCACCTCTGTGTTGATGTTTGGCACCGGGCCCATGGTCTCCACTGCAACACATTAAAATAAAAATCAGTAGGATTTGTTGGGCCAGCGGGGGAAGGTGAGAAGGGTCGATGAAATTTGCCCAGCGCACTAAGTTCCAGCTCCCAAGCTCAGCACAAACCTCCTGAGAAAATGCAAGGCCGTGGATGGGGAAACGCGTACGTTTGCTGGCCAAACTGGTGCAGCTTGTTGCAGCCAAAACAACAACCGGAAAACAGACAGAAAGGCACCGGGGGGAGGGTGCTCACAATTTACGCCTGCCAGCCCCCCCAGTTCCTCCAGGCCTTTGCTCTAAGGCCCAAGCATTAACAGAGCCAGACGGGAGGATGAAGTTGTGGGGGGTGGGGGGGCGGGGAGGTGTGTGTGTGTGTGCATGCGTGCATGTGTGTGTGTGGGGAAAGGATCACGTCCTCACCCCTCCCCCACCTTGTGCTAGACCAACACTGACAGTCAATAACTTATGTCCGCGATGAGGAGACTTTCCTTCATCTGGAGGATGGTGAGCCTGTGGCATTCTCCGCCGCAGTGAAAGTGGTTAAGGCCAAAACATTGAACGTTTTCGAGAAGGAGTTAGATATAGTTCTTAGGGTTAAAGGGAACCGAAGGGCTTTTTTTTTGGGGGGGGGGGGGGGGGGGTTTGTTGGGGGGAACGCAGGGACAGGGCATCAAGTTGAATGATCAACCCCGGCTGTCCCAAATGACAGAGAGAGACTCGAAACTCAGCACGGCACGCTCCCGCTCCCACGTTTCCCAGCCATGGGCGTTCAGGGACAGCGCAAGGGACTGCAGACAGAAGCTGCTGGAAAAGCTCGGCGAGGTCTGGCAGCGTCCATGAAGGAAGAGAGAAAAAAGACAAAAAATAAAGCAGATTTTAACGTTTCGGGTCCGTGACACCTTCCCTCGGAGGAAACCGGCATTGCCGCAGGGGCCACACGGGAACGCCGTACAACGCGGCAAGGAAATGGGGTTTCGGCGCAGAGCGGAGAAAATAACGGGGCCAGAAGCTCCCTGATTGGAAGGGGCTACGCAAATACAGGCGGCAATCTCCACCCTGGCAACATCCTCGGTGGGAGACTGGGAATTCCAATGCTGGTCAGGGGGGAAACATCGAGCAAGCTGAGTGGTGGAGGGGCCATCGGCGCAGGGGAGTGAAAAGGACCGGAAAACCGGACGGAGGTCAGGGTGGGCCGGACTTACGGGTTGTTAGAACGTCGTGGACCCTCTGGCTCGACAGGTCGTCCTGCTTCGCGGTGAGGGCGACGACGTACTCGGCTCCAGGCAGTAGCTTGAACAGCCGGTGGTGGGTAGTGCCGGGCTTGAGGCGGAGGCTCTTGGGCTGCCCGTTGGTGGTCAGGCCCCAGGTCAGGAGGTATCCGGTTATCCGGGCTCGAGGCGGAGTCCAGGTCACCAGCGCGGTGGTCTCGGTGATGTTTCGGAAGCTGAGGTTGGTGGGAGCATCGAGCTCTGAAGAGAGAGAGAGAGAGAGAGAGAAAAGCATGAGCGAGGGTCATCCCACACGAACACGTAAACAACAATCTCCCGGCACCGTTGTATCTCGCTGCGTTTCCGTAGCGCCTCGGCTAGCCAGGGTATTTCGCAGCCGACCAGGGGCTCCCTGAAGTCACCGCTGCGAAGGAGGGAAAATGGCCGCCGCCGCCTCGCAAGCAACGCGCCCTCACACGCAGCAATGCTGCCGGGAGCAGATAGTCCAACCAGCCGTTGAACGGCCCGCCGGGACAAGACCCCGCCGCGGCGCTCCCTCTTCAGTACCTCTCCCTCCGCTCCCCCAAGTCAAGGCAACCTGGCCGCTGGTCACACGCGTTGTTTTTTGGGATCTTGCTGTGCGCACCCTATATGGCAGCCATGGCCGCTCTTCGAAAAGCTGCCTCATTTTGCTGCCAAGTACTTTGGGGCACCTGGTCGCTGTGAAAGGCGCTGCCATAAATGCGCATCTATCTCCCTTCCTTCATCTGTCTGCCTCACGCTCTTTCGAGGGTCAAACTTTGGCCCAGTCAAACTCCCCTGGGGCCTGCTTCCCCCCAGGGTGGCACAATAGCTCAGCGGTTAGCGCCGCTGCCTCACAGCCCCAAGGACCCGGGTTCAATTCTAGCCTCGGGCGACCGTCTGCATGAAGTCTGCCCATTCTCCCCGCGTCTGCATGGATTTCCTCCCAAAGACGTGTGGGTTAGGTGGATTGGCTATGGACAACGCAGGGTTACAGGGATAGGGCAGGGGGCTGGGTCTGCGTGGGATGGCCTTCAGAGGGTCTGGATGGGCTGAATGGCCTGCTCCCGCACTGTAGGGATCCTATGATTCGTGGGACCATTCCTCAGGGCCAGAAGCTTGTGGGTCAAAGTCCCTCAAATTGCAGCCTGCCTCACCCCCACCCACCTGAACGATACTGAGGGAGTGCCGCACGACTGGGGTGCCCATTGTGCATGCGAAACACTGCACCAAGACTTTTATCTGCCCACGTAAAAAAAAACACAAAAAAAATCTCACCGCGCTACTTTGATCTAAGAGCTGGGTTCCTCCCCGAACATCCTGATCGATAATCCTTCCCCCCTCCGTACCCCCCAACCCAACTCTCAACACTAGGTTGACGCGAGATCGGGTGAAGTTGCTGCGTGTGGGAGTTGGCAGTGCGCAAAGAGGACAAAAGTAACCAAACACCAGGAGCTGCTGCCACTGCTGTAGATGTGTCGAGGGGGGTCGCCCAAGGCTGCGGAAGGCGCCATAAACAAAGACAAGACTTCAAAACAATTTACTTTCTCTCCCCCTCTCCATTCTCACGCTCAGTCGCGGCTCTAACCTCCGGCAGCCGTCCCTGTTTTCGGGTTGTTCCAGAAGGTCGGGCTGCCGGGTCAGGCACGTCTGCAACAGCTGGATGCAGCTGGGCCCTGGACACAGCGTCTCAGCTGGGCCAGGGGAGGGCGAAGTTCGCCCCTGTCCCACTTCCCCTGCCCGTTCAACGCCGGGCTCACTGAACCCACGCCGCACCCTGCCCCCAACAACCCCCACTCAAAAAAGACTTTCAAGGAACTTTTTAAAAAAGTCCAATCCTCGTTTTCACTGTCTCCCACGCCGCCTTACTCATGTAAACTTCTCCGGGCCAAAGACAAAATAAGGAGAAAAAAAAACCAGAAGATCTGCGAATGCTGGAAAAACAGAAACTGCTGGAAAAGCTGAGCGTATCCGGCAGCATCTGTAGACAGAAGATCAGAGATGACGTTTCGGGTCCCTTCCTCAGAACTGATGGTATTTAGGAAAATGTTGGTTTTTATACAGAAGATAGGGTGGAGGGCGGAGGTAAGGAGCAACTGATAGACGGGTATAGAGCCTAAAGAGAGAGAAGAATATTTGGATGGACAAAGGATGGGATAACGGTCAGGCTGGGAGAATGAATGGCCGCTAATGGGGACTATCAGTGGCTAACAATGGGTTGCATGCAATAGCAGACCATGTGATAACAAGGCCTGGTGTGTGGGGGTTGGGGTAAGGACATGGGAGAAGGTGCCTCAAAATCCTAAAGCTGTTGAACTGGATATTGAGTCCTGAAGGCTGTAGAGTTCCAAAGTGGAACATAAGGTGCTGTTCTTCCAGCTTGCGCTGGAGCACTGAGGAAAGCCTGACGCAGTGATGTTGGCCAGGGAACAGGGTGGCGCGTTGCACTGGCAAGGCAACTGGAAGCTCAGGGTCTTTTCTGGAGGGCAGAACGCTGGTGTCTACGCTTCGTTTCCCCAGTGTTGAGGAGGGCACATTGTGAGCAGCGAACACAGCGGACTTGATTCTGGGAAGTGCAGGGAGAAGTGCTGCTTCACTGAACGGAATCCATATTGATGGCCACAACATGCCAACTGGATCGACACACGGGAAAGGTAAAACTTAACTGAGAGCCAGCAGGACCCGACTGGCTGAAATGGACACCGTTGCTGCGGTACACAGAAAGATTCGGAAGCCTTTGTGAATAATCCACGAGGGGCTAACATCGAAGCTCAGCGGGTAATAAGGAAGGCGAGTTGGCCCTCATTTCAAAGGGAGCAGAGTACAGAAGCAAGAAAGTTGTGTTAAAAACAACACAAGGCACCAGCTGGACCCCAGCTGGTATACTATTTTGACCCTGTTATCCAAGGAAGGATGTACTAGTTTTGGAAGGTCCACGAGATTGATTCTGCATATGGAGGGGTTTCTTGTGCAGTGAGATAGAGTAGACTGCATCTGTACTCGCTGGAGTTTAAAAGAATGAGAGGCGACCTTACTAAAACATTCTCAGGCCACCAGAAAGGGTAAAGGCAGAGAGATTTTTTTTCTCCCCTTTCGGGAGAATCTGGGACCCGGAGGTGCGGCGGGTGGAGGGGGGGGGCATAAGTTCATTGTAAGGGGTCACCCGTTTGAGACGAAGATGAGGAAGAAATTTCTTCTTGGGCAGGGGAGTGAATCTGTAGAATTCTTCACCACAGAGGCTGGGTCACTAGGTACGCTGAGATGGAGAAATGTTTAATCAGTCAGGGTTATATGGGCCAAAAGGCCGAAGGACTGTGGAGCCGAGGACGATCAGATCAGCCATGGTTTTAGTTGAGTGGCTGAGCAGACTTGATGGGCCGAATGGCGCATTTCTGCTCCCACGTCTCACGGTTACGCTTCTTCCAGCCACCGCTTCGTTACCACTTTCAGCTCCACTCGGCAATAAGGGGTAAGGCCGCTCTGCCCGGCCTGAGCTGGTAACTCACAGTCG